AACAAAAATCTGTCAATGAATCGGTTATTTTAATAGTATTGCGCGAGGAAATATTAGGTTTGCAATAAAAAATTTTGATTATACATATGTACATTTTTATGCTAATTAGACGCGTCTTAATTTATATTAACTCGACTTGCACAGCAGTTATTAGCGATTACAAGAATAGAGTAACATGATTTTAATCGTAACCTTTTTTGAATCAGATTATAGTTTTATTATGCAATATAATAAAGTGCGCATCGTATGCGATTAATATCAGAATTGTCGTGCAAAATACAATCATTGTATTCTATTAATTAATGCGTTCATAATTGCAATAAGTATCTGTATCTTTGTGAGTAAAAGTCCCGAAGTAGTAGCAAAAAGTGAAAAAGAGAGAAACAGAAAGCTTAAGATAGCATCGAACGACGATAGAGCAACGATAAGGTAAGCAAAATTCTTATAACTTGTTAAATTTTTATTATTTGTTTGTTGTAAAATTAATTGATCTTCAGCGCAGAAAATTTAATAAAAATACGAAAAGTATAAAAGAATGTATATAAATAGATATTCTACATTTATATTTTAACATATTTAAAAGATATTTATAATAAAATTTGTATATTAATTAATATTGTGAAAAGATACGTATTATTTCGAGTGTAAATAGAGTGTGCGGGTTCTCTTTGTTGCGTGAATTTGTTGTATATGAACTTGACATGAAATATAACAGTATCTCTTGATTATACGCATGTAATGTAATTAATTACAATATACTTGAGAGGCATTCAACAATAAAACTTAAAATACTTTGGAGAATGGCTGTTTTTATTAATTTTAATGTAACATTTTTATAAGATTAATATTTTTGATAAAAATTTAAAATACTCATTATTTACTTATATATTTTGATAGCATGTTGTAAGTTATAAATTTAATTTAATTAATTTTTAAAAGCTTTTCTTAAAATAGCTAACAGTGCTTTAACCTCTTTAATTTTTTTTTAAATTGTTGGTTTTTGCACTGCACTTTCGTTGAAAATCCGAACACGTATTATTCTTCTCTCGGGCCATTTCAGGAGCAAATTTTTCGCGAAATCATAGAAATCTTTTACTATGCAGTGATCTCAAAATGTCGACAAACATCGACAGACGGCTAGCTAATTTGAAAGCTTTGTCGATAAATGCACTGAATTCACATGGAAAGTTATTTCACAAAGTTACGTAGAATTCTCGGTGTAAGTGAAGACGGTTGAGAGGAATTTCAAGAATTCTTATTGCGTCGAAGATACGCGGTGGAATAAAAAGAAAGCGTACAACTTGAAGCGCTCCGGTTTTCATATAACTTTCGCGAGAATTGATACGCGTTACGTTAATCTTTCGACTTATTGAAAAACACTCTTGCTTACTATTACATGCTCATTTTCGCAATGTTGATACTTTGATATGTATGAGATTGAATAATTTAAATAGTCGATTTAGTATTTAAGAGGACAGCTCAAAGCCGCAGGAGGATAGCTCAATAATCATTAAGCATATCCTATATTCATCGAGGACATATTAGACAAGCAAGACAGCTAATATTGTAACAATGGGCAATTTCGAATCAATAGCTCAAATTGACATGTATCTATAATCAATGAATACGTCTACTGGTTGAAAATGAGCCAACCCATGCTTTTATTCCCATAACTGTTGAACTAAACAGCAGAGTATCGTCAATCATCGCGATTCGATTAATTAATCATTCTAAATGACATATGCGTTTTCAATCGTCTAGTTGATAGCTATGCGGAGTGTCTTTAGGAAGGGCCGACAGGGATGTCGCAAGATCATGAAATGGTCCTTTGGGGTCGCTTCTGTATACACACGAGGACGATAGATAGTGTCGGTACATCTAATCTAGAGCTATTCGAGGAATCAATCAGGATTCCAGCAGAATGTCTAAGATAATCTTAACATTATGTTATTACGTTTCCTTAATGTTACATTATTTTATAACATTCAAAAAACATAATATTAAGTACACGCTTCGTGTATATTAAGTATGCAGTGTGTGTAAATAACCGCACAATTTAATAAATTTAATAATAAATATTTTTTCGAAGAAAATTGCTGTTAGCTTGAAAATATATATCGTAAAAATCAATTTACATAGGGTTACAGAATATTAGTCTACGAGATAATTATGATATTTGGTACAAATATATAGAATATTTTTAATATTTTATTTTCGATAACAACATTAACTTTTCGACGAAGACGAATCGAACAATCAAGTTACATAATTGTCTATATATATATATATATATATATAGCAAGTTGAATATTTATATTTTATTAATTTTATTTTATTCTAGAATATTATTTCATAACGAGAATTGTCAAGCATTACGGTGATTTGAATATGAGGATTAATTTTGACATAAAATCATTGCTGTACGGAATTAGGCATGCATTGTTGTACGGAAATCGCGTGTGTATTATATTGATGTGGCTGAAATCGCGCAGCTTTGATTTCCCCAAACTAAATGGCATAGTTTACATAGGCTTCAAATTATAACGAGATAAATATATTTGCAAAATCTCGACGAAGTAATTGCTTTTTAGCATGTTATTTCGGAATGGAAAATTTTAAAAACGTGAGCATCAAAAAAATTAAAAATAGGATATATAAAGAGATTTTACAAAAAGAAAAGAATTGGCAACATTAATGTAAATATAAGCAATGTACTGTAATGTAAATATTTCCCGGTATAATATTTTTCTTTTAAATTTAAATTTCTTTCAAAAAAGGATGAAGTGTACAAATACATTTTTTCACCTACTATGTATATGAATTCATTGAACTCACCAGTGATTGCGTTGCGTTTTTTTCGATGCTTTGCTTTGCTGTTGTGGAAAAACTGTGCGATTTTATACACAACTTGGTACGAAAACTCGATCGTTTACTCGATTAAATTTACCTTGCCAAATGCATCGGATAAAGCAACATATGCAAACAAGATATAAATTGTTCTGCAAAGTAAACTAGAGTAACGATCTGCCAATGCTCGCGTTTTTTTATTTTTTTATTTTATCAAGCAAAGATTCGTCAATATGTATATATATATGTAATTTTTCTATTTTTTTTTAAAGTAGACAGTTTTTTAAACAGAAAAATTATTATTTTAAAAATAAGATAACTAATATTGATTTCTCATTGTTTCAGGTGAGTTTGAAGCTATTTTCAACATTTATTAAATGCCGTTCATCGTATCGTAAGTCAATATTATTTAATTTTCAACATTAGGATTAAAAATGATAAAGATTCGTCGCTTTGCCGTTGATAAGGAATGGTTCTGCTCTCCTTATCAACTGCATTATGTCGGTACGATAGATGCCTCACAAAGTTACCAGTGTAACCAGTGTGTGTATCACAGAGTACCGACGGTTACAGTCTCTTATCAGCTGTAGTGACTTATCAACTTTATACGTAAAGACTGCATCTAGTGAAATTTATTCAACATAGATAACATTTCGATGCTAAAGAAGCTATCTACGATAATAACCGCATCAGGTAGCATTTGAATTATATCGATATATTGCCTGCGAATAATATTAGAAGATCTCATAAATCTTATTTGAAACTTCAACTGATAATGTTGAAAAATTCCCATCCTGTTACCATATTTTGAAACTAAAATATATATTAATAGCATCATTTCTTATCCATTTTTATCATTTACAAGAATAGTAGGTGCTTGTTTTATCAATAATAATTTTTTATTCTTAATATTGATAAAAAGTTGGTCGATAGAGCCTTACGTGTAATTCATAATCTATTATGCATCAAACGATATTTATTGTATTAAATATCTTTATTTTATTGAAATTTTTGTTGAATCCTTTTTTGATTTATATCAAAATTTAGATTTTTTAAAAATTATTTGTGAAAGAATATAGTTTTATCTTTCCTGTATACTTCACATTATTATATACATACTTCGTTGCTATTAAAAATATTTTTTTCTATATTAGAATTGTTACTAAAAATAAGCAATAACACAATTGATAATATAAATTTCATAAAATCTTATACAGAGACAAAAAATTTATATTTTAGTAAGTATGAAACAAACCTAAATATTATTAGAACATATATAATTTAATCGAACCAACTCTTTGGTCAGCTCTTATTCCTAGTTGACTAAAGAAATCGATTCGTTTTTTATCTATTTGTAAAGCTCCGGTTTATGTCCGGCTTGCAAGCACTATTTGTGATGTGCAAAAACATCCGTGATGTCTTTCTCCCACCTGGCGAATTGTTGTGATAGTCTATTGCATCGATTTTATTACGTGTTCGCAGAGACAATTCCATATTTACTCTCTATAGCGAGCATTGATGTATGATGTATAAGTAACGATGTTTATTTAGCTCATGTTTTATCGTTAGTATTATTTAATATATTTGTCGATACTAAATCTGCAATTTAAGGCATCTTTAATGAATGAACATTGCATCTACACGCTCTACGAACGATTAAGATATAAATAATAATAGATATGAATGTGATATATTTAGCAAAAAGTCATAAGCATTATTTCGTTGAAAGTAATGAAATTACGTTGTTGAGACTATTGGAATTTTAATATTGATACATTACTCGGATTTTATCGTTTATTTTGCACTACTACATGACTGTATTAGTGAGATTATTTAATATTGCATTTTTCTTCTTTTTTTATTAGACAGGAAATATTTGAGGTAGGTACTATTTTTGTTATTCTCTTTATTTTGTTCAAAAAATTTATAAAGGCGTATCTAAATTATAAGACTAGAAAAGTACGGACAATAATTCTTTTTTTTAAATTATAAGATATATTGAAAAAAATGTCAAAGTGCAAGAAATATAATTAACGATTATTTAACAAGAAAATCTAAAATAATAGAGAATATTAGTTCGCAAAAGTATCTCGTAATATAATTATACAACTGTAATCAACATTACACAATCTAATAACGATACTACGAAGATATAAAGGGTATAAAAATATAAATTTATTCGTTGTTGGCAACATACATGACACAATCGATATTCTGCACGTTCAATTTGTAAACTGCATTCGAGAGGCGCCTTAAAAATATATGTTGAATCAAGCTGCTGTCGGCTTGAATTTACCAATTTTTCAACGAAGCTGGTTTGATCGGTACTCCGGATCCGATATCGAGACTATTGTAAGACGGTGCCAATACAGTGCCGAATCCTGTGGTGGATCCCAAGCCGCTGGGAATGACGCTACCACTGGAGACGAGACCGCTGTCTAAGCCGGAGCTAATTCCGCTACCTACAATCGCGGAGTTAAGTCCGCTACCCAGAGACACGGGGCTAAGTCCGCTATTCAGAGACACGGAGCTAACTCCGCTACTCAGAGGCACGGAGCTAAATCCGCTACCTAAAGGCACGGAGCTAAGTCCGCTACCCAGACTCGCGGAGCTAAGTCCGCTACCCAGACTCGCGGAGCTAAGTCCGCTACCCAGACTCGCGGAGCCAAGTCCGCTACCGAAAGTCGCGGTCGAGATGGGTCCAATGTTGCTGGGTCCCAGATCGACGTATTCATGTCCGGATGAGTATCCGGATGAGATGAGGCCAGTTGCGGGCGGCGACACGACGTTGAAGGTCGACGGTATGACGTTAACAGACGGCACGGACACTGGCACGTGTCTGGTGACGGAGATCGGAACAGGCACCGGCTGGGCCACTGGCACCGGCACTGGTTGTGGCACGCGGACCTCGACGGGTTGCGGCACCGGGACCGGGTAGGGTCGGTCAACCTTTACGGGTACGTGACGGGTAACTTCGACGGGCACCGGTTGCGGCACCGGAACTGGATACGGACGGTCTACCTTGACGGGCACGGGTTGCGGGACGGGTACGTGCTTCGTTACTTCGACTGGGACGGGATGTGGTACCGGGACGGGCACTTGGACCTCGCGATGAAGGGTGAGTCCGGTGATGCGTTCAGTCTTGGCGAGATTCGGTACCGTTTTCAGAGCACCGTATCCGGTACCGATCGCAGACGAGGGAATGCCGCTGCCGACGATGACACCGGTATCGCCGAGACCGTATCCTCCGTATGATCCTCCGTATCCTCCGTATCCGTATCCTAATCCAGATCCGTATCCTAATCCAGATCCGTATCCTAATCCAGATCCGTATCCTAATCCAGATGAGTAGGCGGAGGTCAGGCTGTTACCTAGGGTGACTCCCGATAGTCCTGATCCGAGTCCGGTCGAATATCCAGAGAGACCTAAACTCGACGTGTAACCCGGGTAGTTGTAACTCGGGTAGTTATAACTCGAGATACCATAACCGTGATGATCGGGCGACAGACTTCGTTTATCTTGTTTCTTCGGGTTCTCCTTGGGGGCTGCCAACACGGCAGTCGCCAACAGTACTATCTGTATAGTTTGGAAAAAAATATATATTCATTATAGTTCTGAAAATATCACTTTAAATTAATTTTTGTCATGAGATTAATTTTATTAAATAGAGTCAAATTAAACAGCTAATATATAGCTTTTAATTAAGCTTGACACTGTTATTAATTTTTAATTTTGTCGTTACGTATATCGATTAATTAGTAATCGAGTAATTAATACAATTAGACGAATAAATTCTAATCCCGAGCATCATTATTTATCCAATATTACTATTGCCTCTAAACATAATTAATATAACAAATATACTAATTGCAAATTTAATTATGAGAATAAGGAAAGTCACATTTTTCTAACAATTCCTAACTAACAGCATGATCGAATGACAGTAATGGTGATATTATTGAGAAGGAAAAAAATGACAATCATCTTTATGCATCGGCGTATATGCACAAGAGATATCTTTATCGATACTTACCGCGAAGCTCCTCATTGTATCTGATGGTGGTTTCGGATCGAGTGTGCCTTTAGTGCGGTTGGTCGGCGTTTTTATAGGAAATGTCCGGTCCGCGATATATGCGATTACTTTCACTGAAACGACGAACACGCCCTGCTGCGCGATCCACGCACCTCCCAATTATTTTTCTGCACAGCCGGTCTCGCTTGGTCCATCCGATTCTCCGATCTGACGTAACACAGAGCCACGCAAACTTGCTCCCGAAACGAGTTCGATTCCGCATTATTACGCGGCCGTAACACGCGTAATTGTTTACCGGTGTCAGTATGCCGCCCGTTTATCTACCATTCTTTTTATATAAAGGGCCAGCTTTTACGAGATATCGCAAATAGGCGAGAGCGCACGATCGATCGATACAGTAATGCATCAAAATAAACCGATGAATCTGCAACAAAATTCCTAACAAATTTTTCTGAATGAAAATATTATATTTCAAATTATCATATAATAGTATTTAAAAAAATAGAAATCTTTTTCTAATCTACACATTTTGTACCGTAGAATGATACAAATTGTCTTATTTGCAATATATTTATTAAAATATTGCAAGTAATTTAATATTGGTCATATTTTGAATTCGTCATGGTTGAAGGAAAGAAAATTTTTCTTTATTTTTTAAATTAATGTTTTAAGTTCTTTCTTACTCGCATATCGAATCTTTTTTACATAATTATGTTGTATAATGTCTATTCAATTTATAATTACATACCTAGATGTATGAAGTTTCTTTAGGCACTGAATTTTGTTCTGCATATATAATTTGCACTCTTCTACATCTAATTTGCATATCTTCGAGATTTTAATCGCTTATTTTTGGACGCGTTAAAAAAGTGGTATTTTATATATCGTGACCACATGATTCAGGATGTTATTCATTTTAATAACGATCATTTCTGAAATCCAGTGACATATAAATTAATTGATTTTTGCATATAACAGAGATTCGAGGAGACACGTTTTTTAAAATACACATTTATTAATGCTATATCTCACAAGTATTTATTATCGCCTTCTGATGCGACTATCGATGCGATGATGAAAAATATGAGTGAACTAAAATCGAATTAACTTGTGATGACAATCTATAAATTTTTATTTTTAATTTATAATAGAGCAATCGATGTGTGACGACTATGAAAAGATTTGCAATGTCTAATTTTTAATTGACAGAGACCGACGCAATACATTAATTAATTCGTCGCGAAACATAGCTTCTTTTTTTAAGTCACTCATGGGATAGTGTATTTTCTCATTGCACAATCCGATGTAAATCGTTTGCATTTTGTAGCATAAAATAAATCTCTGTGGCGTGGAATAATTCGCAAGTTCGGAGTTTCGTAACTGTAGATTTTCTTCTTTAGAATTGTCCCGACGAAGATGTACGTCCTTTCAAATGCATTGTACTGATTTTCACAGAGTGCTTTATATTCATGACACGAGTCCCCGCGAAAATGTGCTTTATTTAAATTGGATGCCGGATGCACCGCAAATTTGCATCGCAACGTGATCATCAAACATCTCACCAAATTGCAAACATGAGCGAAAATATTCGGCATTTATCAAATTTTTTCTAACCGCACATAGAGTTTCGTAGAAAGAAACAAGACATTCGAGAATCGTCGAATGAAAATACTTAGTTGTTTTTTTGCGATGCTACGTGTTGAATTCAGACGATAAAACAAAAATGTTAACTTAAAGATTGCTTTCATTGGAATAAAATACTGGTTTTCAAGGATAAACCAGTATTTCGGAAATAGATTTATTCTAATTTCAAGAATGATTTGCTAAATTGATCATTAAAAATGAAACGAATGGCTAACATAGTTATTTGGAATATTAATAGATTTTATTTCTTCTCATTGTAACTTTGTATAATATAAATATTAATTCTTTTCATAAATTCTTTATTAACCATAATTATATAATAACTATATTATTATGATTGGTTTTTAATAGTAATTTGCGTATTACAGAGAGATTTTTGCAAGTAGTAAGTCATAAAATATTCCGCAATTTTAGTATTTTTATATATTTTTTTTTGCGCGCGCTCATAAAATTTCCACGTAGTTTATTTTGGATGTTACAAGTCGTAAGATAAGAGTGAAGGGAAGAGGCACGCTACAGAAAAATACGAGATAGATAAAAGAAGTACTTTTTTTCCTCCTCTCCCTCTTTCCCGCTATTCCCGTGCTGTCCCTATTCCAGATTCATCTTTGATTTCCTACGGGAATCCCGATAGAATTTATGACATCGACTGATTGTCGCGATTGGCTCAATCGATTTTTCTGGTAGCTCTTTAACCGGGATCATTATTCTTACGTTTCTTTGGTCGCCTTGCTTTAGTAAACTCGTTATCTAATAGCGAATTTGATTTGATGCACTAGTGCGCACTGAGTAGCACATAAATATTTTATCACACACAAATCTACAATAACGCAAGCAATTAAAAAGAGGAAAATAATTAATAGTAAGATCATTATCATTATTCATATTGTTGTTCAATATGAATAATGATAATAGCTCTTACTATTAATACAGTAAAGAATAATGGGCCAATTAAGATATTCTTACTATTAATTTTATTTTACTTTTTTAATTACTTATGTCATTGATAAATTCTGTGCGATAACCTTTATGTACACTCATTGTTAGCGCACTAGTGCGTTCAATCGAATTCGCTATAAAAATATTAAAGTAACATATCGAGGTAGCTCTCTCTCTTTCTTTCTCTCACTTTAGGAAGACTCTTTTAATGATTTATTTTAACAAATTTAATATTCTTTTCATTAAATAAAAATTGAATTTCCGTGTTCTCTCTTGAATAATAAATAGTTTTAAATTAATAGACATAATATCGGGTTGCGTAGTTATATAGAGCGATATTTATGATACACTTAAATCATTTTGTTAATAAGAAATGTAATTTATACAAGTCGAAAGGAAATCTCACTGATTAATTTGTGCACTAATTATTATTAATTGGCAATTCAAATATCAATTGAAAATTATTTATTCGAATATATTATATATTTACGGTATACCATTTTATTTAAGCTAGCTTCTCTGTTTTCCATTCGATTGCTTCCATATTCGACAGCTTCCAATTGAAATATTAATACCTTGGAATAACGCTTTGCGCAGAATAAATTATTATTCAAAGTACAAATTGCAGCATTATATTTAATAAAGGAATACACATATATACGTAATTTAACGGGACGATTCTGTGTTTATTTTATACAATATAATTGTTGCGTTCATGTACTTACAAAACATTTTCTGTAAAAGCATCGAGCAATAATATTTTGCTTTTTGATATTTAAAACATTTTTAATTTATTTTTAATTGAGAATAAAATTTTGTATATAGGGCTCATTAATTTTGTTGACGAATTGACCGGCATACGCGCGAAGATAATAGATGTGATGATCGACATCGTAAGGCCGAAAGGATTGAATTGCTCGTGTCAATCAATCCGACGGAAATGTAGATACACTGACAATAGACGCATAATGCGATAATCAAAGTTCATGAATATGAAAATTCCTCGTCACTGACCATATTGATTAATAATCACGATAGAACAAGTTTCAGCATTACGATTGCTCAATACTCGATTTAAGCTCGCGGCCTCGAATCAGGAACGCTTAATGAATAATCCGTCCGCGATCGATCGAATGGAGATTTCTAAATATCACAGGAAACCCATAACCATAAGTTTCTGTTATATATTTTTAATCGCAGTTATATGGAATTGAGTAGAAAATATCTTGTACTTTTGAAAATACGATGTTTCATTCGCGGAATTTTACGAATATTACGCGGATATTGCGTATAACATTTATAAATCTAAATATAATAAATTAAATGATTTTGGAGCATTATTATTTTCTTATATTATCTTTTGTTATATAAATAAATAACTTTTTAGGTCGTTTAGGAAAAGTATAATGAAATTATAATTAAACATATTATCGTAAAATTTTTATCTTATGTCATAATGTCATACAAATTTTGTATGTATATTTCCACATACACGCATACACACATACATATACGTGAATTTCTGCAAGGGTTTATTTTTCATGTCTCACAACTGCATAAATTGCACGTTTATCACGCGCGATCGCCATAAAATTTGTTGAACTGTATAGGCGAAGAAAAATTTTATTGAAGAAAGAAGAATTTACGACGAGTGTGTCCCTGAAGAAAACGGGAAGTGTTGCCTTTTATATCAGAAAAGAACCACAATTCTACCGGTTGTCATTGCCCGCAGCTCTTACTTTTCGGTTCCGTTTGTGAGTACCCAAAAATAAGAAGGCTCGAGGATAGATGTTACTTAACGAATGCAACAACTGAGCCAGTTTGTTCCTTGCTCGTTCATTTCTCTGCTTCCTTTTTTTAGCCAAATGATATGAGTCATCTCGAGATGACAAGTATAATCACTTTTTATGGCGATAATTATTATATATTCGACATTCGTAATATAAGAATAATTACATACGCGTGGATAAATCGTTACATGACATATAACGAGTTTAACTTTTTGTTTTATTATTCATTCACAAATACGTATTAATTCTCAAAAAACCATTATATTATAAAATGATATTTTAAAAATGACATTACAATTTTATAATATATTTTTTTAAATATAAATACAGCACATAAAACATGATGCTAATATACATAATATTTGTAGTGTAATATGTTTTCTAAAATAATATTTTAATTTTCATTTTGTTTTGCATTATATAAACTTTGTTCTACAAACATTACCATGTTTTATCTAGCTCTGTATTATGTTAAATCTGGAATTAAAGAAAAAAATTAAATTTTTCTACATTTTGTTGGAAATAAATTCTTTGGAAAATGGGTTGGCTTTTGTACCGGCAAATTCTGCGCTCTGGTGAAGCCAATGTGGTATACAGCAACGTACTATGTCGTGCGAGAAAACGAAGATTGTAGGATAAAATGCGATGCAAAGTGTTTTTTCGGTACAATGAATATTTTCAAGATATAAGAATATCTGTATACA